GCCATAGCAGCATCTAGTGTTTCCTGCTCTTCCAGGGATAAGTCATGCCACAGCTCTGGGTCATCAAGATGATCCCCATCATCGTCATGCACCTCATCTTGAGTGGGGAAGCATACAGTGAATGCTTTCCGCATGTTTGCAGCATTATCGCTAATGATGAAGTCCAATTTTTCTTTAATGTTGTATTCATCACATATTGCCTCAAATTGTTCACAGATTCTGTCACCGGTGTGTGAGCCTTTGAAGCGGTCACAGCCCAAGAGTTTGGATTTTAGTTGTATCCTCTCCATATCTTTCTCTATCCAGTGCACAGTGACACCAAGGAAACCCCTCATCTTTCGGTCAGACCAAATGTCCACAGTGACTGAAACATGGTCTGTGTTGCTCAACTGAGTTTTTAATATTAAACGTCTCTCTGCAGCGAGTTTCTCTGTTTTTGAAGTCATTGTTTTGCGACACACTGGACTGTACTTACTGTCCACTACTGTCAGAAAGTGCCGAAAACTCTTATTTTCCACAATAGACAGGGGCAAGTTGCAACCAATAATCAAGTCAGACAATATTGAATTGGTGATAGCTTTCTGCTGTGGATGACTCATGCTATACTGCCCTACATGGATGTCCAGAAATTGTGAGATTGAAGGCTGTTCTGGTTCATTTGTGATGCTTTTGTTCATCTGGTATTCTTCAAATCTGTAAGATGTAATCATATTAGCACATGTCAGAAAATTCCATGTAGTTAAACATGAATTGCATTTAGCAAATTATGCTATGTTGCCCATGTTAATACATAAATTGTAATATTGAGCATTTCTATTAATACTGTGTGCGTGCGTGTTATTACTAATATAATTTATTTCAGGAGCAGCATCAAAGTTACACTAGTCCTCACCATGCGTCGGTGACAGATAGTGAGCTAATAGACGACTTGTTGATTATAAATCTTGGATGAGTTGACTACTGGACTCAATACATACAAACTGGATGGCATGCCATGAGCGTGGCTGTAGCACGTTTCCTGATAAGCTAAAGTTAGCTTAGCATTAGCTCGTGAGCTCTACTTACCCTTCTTTGTGCAACTTCAAATGTCGAATGAAGTTGGCAGTTGTTGCGTCTCGGTCCGTAATCTTCGACCCACATGTTCTGCATACTGCAATTCGTTTTTTGTTGACCACTTCATAGTTTTTGTACCCGAATGAAATTATCTTTGGTACCATAGTTGCAGAATAGCGCTTTGTTTACCTTCCTGGATTCATTTGATTGGCTACTGTGCTGACAGGTCACATATACATACACACAGGTGCAGAGAGAGAGGGGGAGGAGTGAAATGAATGGATTAGTGCACGCATTTAAAAATGTTTTAATATTTGGGTTTGTATCAAGTCTTTTCAAGTCAAAGGGCTCAAGTCCGAGTGAAGTCACAAGTCATTGGTGTTAAAGTCCAAGTCGAGTTGCAAGTCTTTTTACATTTTTTCAAGTCGAGTCTAAAGTCATCAAATTAATGACTCGAGTCCGACTCGAGTCTAAGTCATGTGACTCGAGTCCACACCTCTGAGTTAAAGCGCTTTCACATTTGAGTGACAAAAATGCAACTCCCTGCTGTGTTTTAATGCAAGGGGTTGCATTGGTCAGGGGGTGAGGGGCTGCAGGAGTGTCTCATAGGCATCTACAAGACAGCTATGTTGTGATGAGTGTGAAAACGGAAGTGACCTTATTCACATTTTCAGCCCATGAGTGTAAACAATGGACACCAACAGTTGCTATTGTTCTGATGAAACACCGACTTCAAGCCCAACACAGATGTCAAACTTGGGTTCCTGAAATAAGCCAAGCAAGGTCACAGCTGGGACAGTACCACAATTTGGTTTGTGAGCTCTGCCTGGCTAGTTATCAATTTCAGTGCCATTCCAGACTGACCATTAAGTAGGCCCGCATATCACAATGGAGGAGGCCAACCGTAGAAAGCTATTCTCCCCATCTGAGTGATTCAGTATTTGTCTTCGGTAAGTCTGTTTATTTTGATTCAAGAACTGTATTGTTATTGCACCAGCCAAAAACTGATAAAATATTTAGCTGCACACAGGGCTTGCTAGCACACACATTAGATTCTTTTTTGTGTGTATTTAGTTCTACTAGTACTGTTGACAGCCATTAATTTCCTTGAGTCACTATAATATGTAATGTCACATGAAAAGGCTGTGGTTATTCATTTAGATAAGTTTATTACTTTAATAATATCCACTGAATTGCCAAATGGAATAAATGGCAAAATGAGTTTAGTTTTTAACAAATACAGTATATTAGTTGAGGCAGCTGTAGCCTACAAACAGAACACAAATTACAAGTTAGTAATCCAAAGTTGTTTAGTAATAATAATGATAATAATAATTACAAATCTCTGCTTGTGTGATTTGAGGTTTCTGGCTTCCAGAGACTTGTACAGAACCATTACTTTCAGCTACAGGGTGGGTGTATCCACTGTTTGTGCAAGTAGCCAGAGCGGTATGGGACTGCTTGGCCAAAGACTTCATGCCTGTACCCAAAGAAGCTGACAATAGAGGGCGATCACAGAAGACTTCAAGAACCTGTGGAAGTTCCTCAACTGCGTTGGAGCTGTGGATGGCAAACATGTTGTCACCCAGGAACCAAAAATTCTGGATCACTTTTCTACAATTACAAGGGGCCCTTTTCCATTGTACTGTTGACAGTAGTTGATGCCTGATACTGTTTCTGTGTGGTGGATATAGGGCCATAAGGCAGGTGCAGTGATGGAGGTGTTCTGTCAAATTCTGTGTTTGGTCAAGACTGGAAGGCTTGGCCTCCCCCAGGATAAACCGCTCCCAGATGCAGAACATCTTGGTACCATGCCTCATGTTTTGTGGGATATGAGGCATTTCCCTTGCAGTGGAAGCTCATGAGGCCTTTCCTGGGGGGAAAAAAAACCTGCCTAGAGAACACAGCTTATTTAAGTACCAATTCTCACGTGCAAGATGACTTGTGGAGTGTGCCTTGGGCATACTCGCCAGTCAGTTTCCCATCTTTCACTATGTGATGGGTGTTGAACCAGTGGTGGCCGAGCTGGTGGTGAAGGCATACTGCATTTTGCACAATTTCATGTGATGAGACTTGATGGAGAACATCTCTGGCAGTAGTGATGCAACTGTTGATGGCCTGTTACCTGTTCAGCAGCTTGGGAGCAACAGCTCATCCAGAGAGGCTTTCACCATCCACAACCATTTCACAGAGTATTTCTCTTGCCCTGCTGAAGCAGTCTCCTGGCAGCATAAAGTCATTTGACACACCAAAATACTATCAAACTGACAGACCTCTAAAGACTACATCTTTAAAACATGTTGTTTTCCTTCTTATTTTTTGTCTACATTGCACTGTGGTTTCACCCTGATGGCAAACATGCCTTGTCAATCACCATTTAAAATAAAACAAGAAAAGCTAAAGTCAGTGTTGGTTTTGTTTTTCCTTTAACCCATATGGTCACTATGAGGTAGATGATAACTTCTGCTGATTTTGTGTTGTACTTCAAGTATAGCATATTTTAATCATATTGTTCATAAACACAATGTATTTTTAAGCTGTTAATCCACTGCTTGATCCCTACTGCTCTACTTTCAGCGGTTCCCGTTAGGGATTGCCACAGCGAATCTAATTCGCATGGTTAAATTTACCACATTTTTACGCTGGATGCCTTTCCTGACATAAAAATGACTTTATTACTTTACTTACTTTATGAGGCTGAGGAGGTTTGGCATGTCGCCTAGGATCCTCAGCAACTTCTACAGCTGCATCATTAAGAGCATCTTGACCAGCTGCATCACTGTCTGGTATGGCAGCACTACTGCTATGGACCGCAAGCGCCTGCAGAGAGTGGTAAAGACTGCGGAGAAGATCACCAGGACTCCACTGCCCTCTCTACAGAGCATTTACCACTGCGGGGTGCGTAGGAAAGCTGCCTCCATCCTCAAAGACCCCACCCACCCCAGCACGGACTGTTCACCTCCCTGCCCTCTGGCTGGAGGTTCAGAAGTGTGAAATGCAGGACCTCCAGACTGAAAAACTCTTTCTTTTCCTCTGCCATCAGCCTCCTAAACAGCTGACAGGAGTTTTTTTTACCAGGAAATACGTCATGTACTGACAACCTGTACTGTTTATATTCTGTTTGCACATGCATAATTGCACATTAACTGTTGATTACTGCACATGCAGCTACAAGCCGCATACACTGTCTTATCATATTTTTATATATTGTTATTATCTCTGCATTTGCTGTTTAAAGTGCTTTAGATCTTGTGTTACTTACTCATCTAATTTATGTTTCATTTGTATTGTGTGGCATTCATGTGGACGACAAAATAAGAATTTTATTGTACAGGGAAACATGTTTCCTAACTGTGCGTATGATGAATAAACACTTTGACCTTGACACAACCCTGTTTATTTATCCGGGCTTTGGACCGGCACAGAAGTCACTGATTGCTTGATCCCTGAACTTTGAAATTTCCATTCTTTTGTAAGATAAATGTTTCTGCAGAAATTTGAAATGTTCAGTCCTTGTTAAATTAAACTCATACCAATTAAAGGAGAGAACAGTTTCAAAAACCTTATTTAAGAGAATCATTTGGAAAAGTCACCATTTAATTTGTCATACTGAGAAAGAGATCTATCATGCATAGTTGTTTGTGAATGCCTCCAGGTGATCTAAAAGTCCTAACTTAACCTAAAAATAACATAGCTATATTTTATTTTATTTATCTGAATCTGCAACCTGAACTACCAACAACTGTGAAATAAATGTAGAGCGGTAGTCTTTCCCCCTGAAATGTAATGAGGCTGAAGTAGTCTCAAAATGAAAATACATATGTAAATTAAAAAACACCTCAAATTCCATCCATCCATTTTCCTCCACTTATCCGGGACTGGGTCGCGGGGGCAGCAGTCTAAGCAAAGATGCCCAGACTTCCCTCTCTCCAGACACTTCCTCCAGCTCCTCCGGGGGAATGCCGAGGCGTTCCCAGGCCGGCCGAGAGACATAGTGTCAGGTTTGGCGTGTACAGATGCCAAACAGAGGTTGTGGTGAACTCAATTAGAAAACCAGACGAACCGAGGTAGCGACAAGTTCTTTACT